ACCACAGTAGCAAAAAGTTGTTCGTATTTATTTACTTTTCGAACTTTGAGAAATAAACTTTAAAACTGAATACTCATATCATATATACTTAAAAAGTCCTGCACACTCAAAACTACAGAGAAGTGTGTTTAAAGTATAAAAATAATTCCGTTCTAAAATTCCGTTCTAAACAAATTTTTTTTAAAAAGCAGTTACATTGGTTGCTTATTGTAGATTTCCATTTCATTATCTGAAAATATACGTTCTTCATTGTTACTAAATCCAAGCCTTCCAACTGTTCTGCTTAGCTTGTGCTGCATTGTATAAAGTTAATCGCATACACTTTTTGTAGCATCAACAATTTAAAGAATGTTTGCTCTACCCTCACTGAGCTCAGTGCTGAAAGAGCGATACAAAAATCCAGTTAAAACAAACAAATCTGAAATTCTTTACTCTGGTTTAATAAAGCACTTCTGAAATAACATTTTTGCGTTTACACAACACGTACAACAAATAGATTTTATTAACTAAACTGCTCAAGAACAGAAAGGTTTAAGCATCGAAGCAGTGTTACCAACATGAAATATTTTCGAGATTTCACTTTATTTTTATTTTACTATTGTATTTGTGAAAACCATTACTAGATACGAGTATGATAATATTCTTTATATAAAACTTTGACTATGAATGAGTGATCAAAGGAGTGATGAAATGATAATACAAATTTTATTAACAACACTACAAAACTTTGATTGCCAGAAAACGAATTTTACCAACAGCGAACTAAAAATAATCTGAAAACGAACATATTAATTGAATAATGGTATGTACTCATATGTTACATATATAACATATATGAAAAAAAAAGTTCTAAGTGCTGCAGAACTTATAACTCTTAATAAAATTTATAATTAAAAATAGGCTACTTAAAGTCCTTTTGGCTTCAAGTAGCCTACGCCAGTCAGTCTAAACATTTGCTCCACCGAATTGGTCACCTAGTCCTTCCATCGAATATACAGGCACCCCTTATCAAATACTTTTCTGGCTGAAGCATGACATGACCAATGTCAATGTAACGGTACAGCTCGTATAGCTTCTTGTTCCATCAAATTCGACACTTTTTGCCAACGCCGCCCGTGCTGAAAGGATCATAGATCTTCCGAAGAATTTTTCAACCGAATGCTCCTAATGTTTTATCATCTATGTTGGTAATTGTCCACGCTTCTGCACCATCTAGTATGATAAGAGAGCGTGATTTTTGTTTGTCGAGAGAGGGCTTTATTTCTCAATTGTCTACTTAGTTCGAAGTAACATCTATTGGCAAGGGTGATTCTTCGTTAAGTCTCAATCTAACTGCACCAAATAAATGAATGTATGAAAAGAATTTGAATGTTTTTAGCTAAAACATTTCCTCTTTTCGTTAGATTGCAATATAGTTTTTTAATAATGCGGCAACCCTAAATAAAATATCAATACACACGTTCAAACAGCCAGAGATAAGCACATATTTATTAGATGTACACGAGTTTCATAGCTTAACGCGTAGCTTTAAAATGCTTAGCTTACTTATCACAATAATTTAAAGCTCTTAGAAAACATTACACATCTTTTTTCATACATACATTTGTTATTATTTTTATGTTGAAATAGTTCGCATTTATAGATCAGAATTCTATGAAATGGACAGAATTGGCGTCGATGATAAAAATCCTTATTTTTATGGTCAAATCAATAGTGTCTATATCTATCAATCGTTCCGAAATCGTGCAAAATAATTTATAATAACATAAATATAAATAACAATTATTATAAGAAGTTCTCATAAAAATGAGGATATCCACATAAGATTTCGTATACGTCCACAAAAAAAGGACGAGATAAGGAACTTATATGCGTTGTCATATGAAATAGAGTTTCATGAGCTCTTGAAAAATCTTATAATTAAACTTCGTCAGTAGTTTGTTTGCTTTAGTTATGAGTAACGCATAAACCAAGATACAGAAGTGTGGTGACTAACACTTGCGTTTTAGTATCATAAAATTTGGACCAAATCAAATTACAAGTACCACACACTGACATTAGTGCATAATCCTAAGCAGACATAAATCCTCTTGTGCTTTAAATGACTGCCTGAGGCCATAATTTTGCTCTTTTTCGCACAGTACAGATGCGTACCGTATGTGCGGTCTGTGCAGTACCAGAAAATATGCACAGAGTGGCTTACAAGTAATCGTACGGCAACAGCTTATGTGTCTGCCAGCATGAAAAAGTTTATATCTAAGTTGATACATTTATACGTTAATATCTAACTGCACTGCTATGGTTGTGTGAAAGTGTCCACTAAGTCTCAGTCTGCTTACTGTGCTTAAGTAGATGTGTAATTCAGTTGGTGTGTACGCTTCCAACCTATGTCTATGCTTCCAACTGTATCTGTCATTGAGCCTGTGCTGCTTGTATGGATGTAGTGTGCTATGTGCTATGTGCTGTGTTCTGTGTGCTGTGTCTGTGGTAATTAAAGACAAGTTGTACTCAAGTGGCTTCAATTCACTCGTTTAATCTCTTTTTCTGGATGTAGCGACATACACAGATACTACATGGCGCTACTACTATTTGGCTATTAATTTTTTTAATGCTCCTTGTGTGCGAATAATTAAAATAACCTTTTGAAATTGTACGCTTGTCTGAGCGCGTTAAATGTTTAAGTAATAAAAGAATAATTAAATCGTTCAAATGAAATATATATTAATTATGCTTTAATTAGGTGTGCACTGATCAGTTCTCCTAAGTTCAAATCATAATTCAATTTTGAATCGAACTGCGTGACATGAATTTCACCAAGTATCTGACAAGTATCAATACTTTTTTGTGCTTCAAAGATATTTCAGAGATTAGAGCGGAGACTTATTTAAGTAAACTGCACACTTCTATTGTGTGTCAGCATCTCAGGATTCATGAAAACCAATCTCATTAATACATTGGATGTTATCACTGAGATTTCTCTACTTAATATTGTAATTCCAAAATACGCATGTGCTAGTACAACATAACATTGGTCAGGCAATTAGAGAAGATCTTCAGAATTATTTAAGTATACTAATTATATATTTTGATGACCCATTTCTTAATATTTCTGATCATATTCCACAGAAATTAAATTTCATGAAGACATTCAAAATTAATACCTCCAATCAATAAAATTGGGCAGATAATCTTAATCAATTATGTTAAGTAACAGATCACACTGCTGTTGAACATATGGATCAAAACCAAATAGCCTTTACTATGTGTCAACATTTCAGTAGTGAATGATAACTTGGAACTCAACTGAATTTTCAATCAAAAAGTTTTTCAATTTAGTCTTGTGCCCAAGATTGTCTAAAAATGTTAACAAATAAAGCGGTGTTGACTACCGCTAATGTCTGTTATATAAGGAAGGGCCTTACCAGTGTTTTAATCTTTTCAGCTTCATTTAGTCATGTTGAAAAACTATCTAACATTTTTCAGTAATCTGAGCCAAAGGCACAGCGTTACTTTATGTTGGGTTCAGGTGCATAAGAAGCAAGAAAGCAATAGAAAGAAGGTCTGCTTTCCAAACTCAATTTTTTTTTTGAATCTTATGGGTGTCATTTTAAGTACCATTGGATAAGATAGATGTAAATGCTAAAAGCAGGCTAAGAGATTTATCAACCCATTCAATGCAGTTTTAAACAGACCAGAGAGCGAATATCAAAGTTTTTAATCGGTTTTTCGAGGACACAGGATATTGAAGTTGAAGTACCACTTAAACAAAATTACTTCTTATGCTCTCCTTATGCTTCTGCTGCTTATGTGAAATATATGTTAATACTTCTGAACATATTCTTTGTGAATTCTCAAAACTGTAAAATACCAGACTATGTAACCTAGCGACATTCTTGACTTGCCACCTTACATAATATATCGTACACACCATAATCATACGAGGTACCGAACGAATTAAAGACTAAGAATTATTATTATTAGTAATAATACTTGTATTTGTAGGTTTTTTCAGTAAAAATATTTTACTTTTCTAATCTTTCGATGCTTTTAAATATTTAACATTTTCTGCAAAAGTCAAAGGAGTGATTTACTACGGGAGACTATAATTAAGATGAACTCACACTGGAAGCAAATTTAATTGGAATCTTTTATTTCTAAAATTTCAGTTATTTCAGTTTTCTATATATTTTTTATATTGTTGTTTTTAATATTGCATATATTATGTATATATAAATTATTCGAAATACTGGTATTTATACGTTATTTCTAGGACTTATTATTAGAATATTAAAATTAAAATAAATTCCCGACCAACTTCCGGTATTGTGTTTTTGTCTTACATATCTCAAATATTTCCAAATCCTATTTAACAGAAAATGACTGAGTCCACAAAATTAAATTTAATTTTAAGAGCTACTCGTATACGTTTTTAAATTAGCTTGCATTACTTTGTCGCGTGTTCGTAAGATTTATTTAGAATCCTTTTTATTAGAAATTATGCTCTTTTTATCTAAGCATTACGCCACTGCGAGCACCCACGCCAAAACTCCTGGAAAATTTATGGTTTGCTTGTAACGTAACCATAATAAGCTTAATATTTTAGCTTAAATACATGCTCCTCTTGCCGCAACCAAGCCCGTGCTGCCACGGAGCCTTAAAAATGCAATCGCATTTTGCTGCATTTGCCCAACATAAATCTTCATCGATTTTTCCTCAACGTAGTGGCATGTCCTCGATAATATAATATTTTCTTAAAAGCGAAACAAAAACTGCTTGAAAATAGGAGAGTCGAATCCAAAATAAATTCAGTAAAAATTTAAATAACAACGGAAGAGAGAGCATGGGTATGGGGTTCGTTGAGGCTACGTTGGGAGCTTGAAAGGACTATGAACATGTTAAGTAAAGCAACACAAATTGATTTAATGCACAACAAAAAAAAGCAGAAAATATAATAAAGAAGCGATAATAAAACAATCCGAAAAGTTGCTAGCAACTCAAAGATGTTGCTTAGCGCCAGTGTGGCAGAGGCTGAGAGTGTTAAAGCCGCCTATGTCTGCAGTACGAGGAGATGGTGTGCTTCTTAGGGAATTTCTATTGATCCTGTGTGTTATGTTGTTTTCCTGTTTTCCTGTTTTTATGTTTTGTTTTGGTATGTCATGCAGGTCGAATTTTTTTAGGGTTTTATTGCCACATTTGCTGTTGCTACTGTTTTTGTTTATTTCTAGGATTTTTTATTGTTTATTTTATTTCGTAGTATATTTTTATTTTTTATGCCACAACTGCTAACGTTCGAGCTGCCTGCTGCCTGCTGCCCCAGTGGCAATGTGTCTTGAAAGGATAACAAACGGATAACGGAACGAAGGGAGCAGAGTCAATCCAAGTTTTTTATGCTGTCGGGTTTGACGGTTGCTGGCGTTGTTTTGTTAATGCAAGAGACTAACCATATCTTTTATATTTTTTACAATTTCCTCATGTTGTATATTTGGATGTAAAGGCATGCATGGAATTGTGGCATTCATTCACTAGAAGCTTAAAAAATGAGTTTTCCGCATTTTTTTGATAAAATTTTATATCAAGGCAAAAGGGTAATATGTGGGTATATATAATGCGGAACGGTCATTCAAGTGCCTTTCCAAAAATTTCCTATGTAACAATTTATGCTTCTTCTTAGCTTTTCTGTTTTAATTTGATTATCCTACATAATTTGCATTTCCTACTGGTGTACAAAATTATTTCTAAAATTATGCATAAACTACAGATAATGTATGTTGAACTAGCGAAAAGACTTGATTTTATTTTGTGTTTGTTTTTTAATTTACAGATGATGAAAACTCAAATGTGCATGCCATACTCACCAATGACAACTTACTCGATGGCACAATTGAAACCAGCTCCGAACAGTATTACGTCGAGCCAGCGCATAGGTATTCCAGTGATTTGCCTGCCAGTGGCGTACACAGTATAATATACAAAGTGAGTGATGTGCATATGGATAAGTCAGCAGCTGCATCACCTACAACATCGTCGCCAGCAGAGCACTGTGCCAGTGAACGCCTGAAACGCAGTCTAATGTTGGATGATTTGAAGCGACGTTTATCCAGTGGTGAAGAATTACGATGGCGACGGAAACGCGAAACGCACGTCGACGAAAACAACAACAATTTAACTCTGAATCGCCAAAAGCGATGGCTGCCAGATGAGGTGAGTTACGTATATGTAACATTTTGTTGCAAACTATAAATTTCTTTCGTCCTTTTAAAACTGTTTGGTGGTAATTGCAATTATCCTGTTTGCTGCGAAACACTACCACACGTGCGGCACTTATTATAGTAGTGTGCCGTTGTCAATTAAATTGCAAATTGACAAGTGAGTGAATGCGTGACACATTTAGCATGAATTAGGTTATTGGTTTATATCGTACTGCCGTCTCCTCCATCTACTTGACTTGACTGACACTGCCTTCCGCCGTTTCATTTCATTTGCCACAGTTTGACTTTGAGGTATAAAAGTGTCTGCCAATTAATGTCACTGACAGGACAATGACTTGCCATTCTATTGGAACGCAGTCGAGTAAAGTCAAGTCGAGTCGAGTCGACACTTAACATTTCAGAGGGAAGGAGATCTAGTAAAATGCCGTCGAAAATACCGAAAATGTTCATTTTGTGCGCGTGTTCCCTTCATTTGTCGTTGGTATCCTTAGTGCAAAATGCTGTGGATGAGTGCAAAATGCATTGACTGACACTTAATTTCCGTATTGTGTTCACAATTAAATTGTCAACGATATTACGAAGTTTATGCTTTCACATAAGACAAAGAGATATAGTTTCAAAAGTTTTTGCAGAATTTAAGCCTATCCGAAATGGGGTAGTACCTAAGTTGATATAGTGAATACGGGGCAATATGTATCTAAAATTCTTGAAATATTTTAGATAATCTTAGATAATCAAAGTCGTCAAGTAGTTTTAAACTTTTGAAGTTCTTCTCTTCTTAATTGAAAACGCAACATTATTCGATTCCTCACAGCGTCTTACAACTATATCTTAAGAGCGAGAGTGGGTGCACTCTACTGTTCATTTTCATATGTATTTAATTACGCGGTAGGAGTTTTAGTCTCTTTGCTTATTTCATAATCTTATCTCAAAAGAATACTCTATCGATGAAGATGTAATTTATTCTATTTACTCACAATGAATTTTTTTAATTTTTGTTTAATTTATTTAAAAAGTAAAGGAGATGTACTCGATTTTCCTTTTCAAAAATGTAAGAAATGGTTTATGCAGTCCAAGGATCCAATGTGCAAGCCTTAAAATTCTGTTGCGGTTATTTTCTTTTTAACAGCAAGAATCAAACCAAAAACCACACAATGTGTTTCAGATTGAAAATTTGGTCTTTGGTTTCTTCAACTATTTGGTTGCATTCTGCCTGCCATGGCATTGTGTATGCTCTGTCCACTGTATACCTCATCACTGTCGTGTTAGAAAAACTTATTGATGTTGTCAGCTCCGATTACAGCATTTGGAACATTAACTGAATTGAGGTCAAATGGTCACTTTCGATGTATGCTGTTCCAATTGTAATGTTGCTGTTACTATTTGTCTATGTAGGTATGTCAACTTATGTGTGCGTCCTGTAGTTGGATGGTATACATATAGAAATTCAGTTATATATGTATATGCAATTACTTTCACTTCTAAACACCCCACTTGCAGTTTTAAGCTCCTCCCAAGCAATCTCACTGTTGTTGTAAATAGTACTTTTGGCTTTCCGTTTTCAGAATTTCTATTGCCAGCTTTGATTGCAGCTTACGAATGGCGCCCTTGCGGGTGTTTGGGGCGCACAGAAATTAGCAACTGTTGCTAAAAAACTACTTCAAATAGATGAAAATAGCTGCATAAGTATTTTCACTTCTCTCTACGAGTATATGTGCATAAACATAAGAAGGAAGGCATTCAATTTTTCCGTTGGCCAAAGAAATCCAATTAAAATGTCATTTATGTTTTGTTGAGTAGACAAAATGTGAGAAAAATGCATTTCGACAAAAATAAAAGTTTTGTTAAATACTTTTTAATGGAATTTGGTTAGAGTAGATTAAATTACATAACAATAAGGTCAACATATGTTGCTACTTAAGTGCAATTGTGGTCTACTAAGTGTTGAACTTAATATAAAATTATATTGTTTCACATCTCGTGTAAAAAGAGAGACTATAGAAATACATATTTTTTTTTATATTTCAGCTTTCAATAAATGAGCAACAGAACCCGCCATTACCACTTGACTTGGATGTGCCGTATAATGATGACTTTAGCATATTCACGCACTACACCAATCGTGACAATATCAATAACACGAAGTCATTGAATAAATCAATATCTAATGTGGAATCAATTGAGGATAACGAAAAAACACCTCAACAAGCTTCTGTGATTACTTGGCGCAATGCTGTTGGTGCCAGTGAGACTGGTTTCACTCCATCCATAGCAAAGACGACAAATGCAACACGCAATCGTAACATTATTGTTAGTAATTATAATCCTAATGGTGGGGAAAGTAATGCCAATTACAACAATAACAATAATAATAGTGTGCGTAAAACTTATACAAAACACAAGAATATTATAGTGAGCACTTACAACAACAATAATAACAATAACAACAACAATAAAAATAATAATCCAAATTTCAACCGCTCATCAACTTTTGGACGCAACGATGATCCATTCGATTCCAATGGTAATTTTGTTAATAACTTTTTTAATACAAATTGGACGACGATGTTTGTAGGCAATGATCGGCCCAGTCACAAAACCCACGTCGAAATTATAACGAAAAACGGTGCCACAAAGAAACCAAATATCATTGTGAATAACTATAATCCCGAAATAATGATGGCACCTAATCCACATAATCCAAATTTTAATAGCATGCTAATGACGAACTTGTTGAGTGGACGCGGTCAAGATAATAACCGCGATGCTGGTAGTGGTAGCTCAATGCGTTCCTTGTATGATCGTAAGATCACTTGCATGTTATACCTGCAAGCTGATCACACATTCTTTCAAAAAATGGGTTCCGATGAGGCTAGTATAGAGGCCATTACCAGGCATGTACAACGCGCTAATTCAATATACAAAAATACTGGTAAGTGAATATATAATGAATATTGTTATATTATTTTTTTTCAAAGTACCGACTAATAGAAAGAGAATGAACAAAGTTCTAATAAAATGTCTTTTAAAAATTGCAAGTGGAGTGAATCAGGGCTAACAATTGTAAACAAAAAATGGGTTATCGATTCTTGCTTTAAAATAACACATACAGGCTATAAATATAATTAATTAATTACTAAAAATATAGCAAACACTGTACAAAATTTAGTGTTCCTGCAATTTTAAAGTAATTAGTTGATAAATTTGGCTTAGTCACTCTAAGTCCTTTAATGTGCATTGCTATAACTGTTAGGTTCGATTAATTTACCTTCTGTTTTAGTTCAAGTAGTTCATTCTTTTCTAGAAAAGTCTGCCTGATTGGCCTTTATGGGTAACATTGAAATTGTGGCAGAAATAACGAGGGATATATAAAGAAGTGACTTCAGAACGTATGCTTAACCACTTTTAGAAGCATATACTTATAGCTATAGTAAATGCTTATTGGCATTTACTCAATATATTTTGGAATAGGTTTCAAAAATACCATACTAAAGTAAGTTTTGTACACTTTATTCTAAACACATACTTTTGAGGGATTACTTTTTATCTGGTTTCTTGAAGTATGTTATAGCGATTTGAAAGACAAACAAAACGTTTGTAGGTAAACAACAACTATCTAAGGAAAGACAGTCACATTGATCTTAGTAGGTGCAAAGAGAAATTTTATAACACATTAACTAAGAAAATGGATTTTGGATAAGGATACATACTTCTATTGAATACGAAAACTTAATATTGTTTTGATAAAACGAATAAATTGTTTAATGCAGTCTTTAAGTTCGTGCTAAAGACATTTGCGAAAGTGAAAACCTTTAGTGGATAAAATTTAAGTGCACAGTAGTGGAATTTTAGAGGAGTTGTTGACTAATATTGTTCTCTTTCTCTTTCGATCCGATTAGTTGCTGTGTTCTCATGTGAGTGACGTAACTAGAAGTGATCGTTAAAATATAGATTCTCCCTTGATAATACAATCTACATAGGAGGCACTACGAAAACAGTGCTATATTTTCTAGTATTTACCTCCTTAGCACAATTTTTGCTACGCCACCGGTTGGTTATGCTATCGTTTAGCTGGTGTGTTCTTCCTGTCGCACAATTTAAAAGTATTTTATTTGTATAAACAATTTAATTTAAACACCTCAGGTTTATATGAATTAAATTTAAAACTATTTTATCCATTCATTCGTTTAGTATGCAGAGCAAAAATAAAAAGGTTTTCTGCAGTTACATTTTAAATCTAAACATATTTGAAGGAGACTCAGTTTTTGACTGAATCTGCAATACCATCTGGCGTATATAAAGCTGATGCTATATATTATTAGTTGGCCTGTTGTTTTGTTTATGATTCATTTAATTATTATTTTATGTGTAAAACAATCAATACAAGTTTTCATTGAAACTGCAAATATATTTCAGTTTCCGCCGAACTGAAAACTGCGTACAAAGTGTTGCACTGTGGAACGGTTTATTTCACTGTTCACTCCACTGCAACCATTGCTCCACGGCTGAATACTCTGGTTCCCGAAATGAAATTTATGGTTTTGGCACGGAATGGTTCTTGCAAAATGTGTCCACCCAACGATTTAATAATTTTGTGCATTTTGAAATTTTTATTACAACGAAATTCACACAACTTGGCCGCACAATCCAATGAATTTTAACAATAAAAACTGTTGAATTGTCAGGGAAATTCATTTTCGCATACATTTTATTAAAAATTTTTACTTTCCTGCTGATCTGCCAGTGGAATATTTTCGATTAAAAGATTAAAAGACGTGTTTTACATGAGTTTCATTTGTGCCGTAAGATTTTTATGGATTTTTCACTAGAAATGAACTTTTATTTTCAGATTTCAATAACGACGGCAAACCTGACAATATAACGTTTATGATAAAACGAATTAAAGTTCACAACATGAATGCAGTCAAGGATCCCGCCTACCGATTTCCTGGAAATTATGGTGTCGAAAAGTTCTTGGAATTGTTTTCAGGTTAGTTAGTAATTATTATTAATCGATTTTCATCTTATGTCATTTAAAGTAACAAAAAGTTCTTATTGTTTATAAGTTTTTAAGGATGCTCGTAAAATAATCAGAAAAATAGTCGTATGAGCACAAGAAGAATTATTGGGGATTTTATCTAATGTGAATTTTACTAATAAAAAATTATTGAAAATCCGTATTGTAATAAAATAGATGTGAAAACAGTAAAATAATCAACTATAGATAGCTCAAAAATGTATTTTCACTTATTTATTAAATTCTTGCTTAATTAAACTTTAAAAGTTTTTAGTTACTTAAAATCATTTCATTTCACCTCGACAAATTGAATAAACTACACAGTGAGACAAAATTAAATTTTCACCTTTATTTTGTTGAAGCGTTTCCTTTTGCTTCATCAATGACACTTAAGGATTTTATCATACGTAAGCGTAGATACAGGAACGTACCACAACCGACACACATAAGAGTAGATACATTTAGCAACTTTAAATTGGAATTGTTTGAGTTATGGCAAAGGTTTCAGGTAGCATTGGAGCGCAAAACGATTGAGTTGCCGCAAATGCCTCTTATTTAGTGGCAAAACCCAATTTAACTGAGCTGAACGTAACTCTTAGGAGTTGCAGTAGAAAATTTTATGAAAATAAATGTGAAAAATGTGGTTAAAGTGGCAATGTCAGCCTTTCGTTCCTTAAAAAGATACGCGAAAACATTTTGTGGTAAAGAAATTGAGTAGCTTCTGTATAGATGGTTCTACATAATTATATATAGAATATTTATATACTATTAACTATATGTGTTCTTAGATACGTAATTGCGGATACTTTTCAAAAAGTTTTAGTCTTTGAAAAGTTTTTAAAGTAATGAGAAAATATTTTATGTATTTATAAAAAAATATTTCAATTAGCAATAATAGCACTTCAATAGAACTTCATGGGTACGATATCGCCTCTGTGCAAAGCTAAAATTAGAAAATAATATCTTTTTAATCATGTTTTATAAAATATTTTTTATTAAATTATAATTATCATAGAATTTTAAATAAATCTATACACTTATATATAGATAATAATACAATAAAAATAATTTTATAATTAAAAGAGTAGAAGTGAAGAGTAGATAACAGCAAATCAATGATACTCCTAAGCTATTAATATTTTTCTTCACTAAGGAATAGAAATAGGAATAAACGGGGTACCAGCTCCTAACAGGGCAGAGCACTGCAATCATGGTTGATCTTTTGTGCTGCAACAGACCCTTACCGGACAGAAGACATTCCATCTTCCAAATGAAAACCAGAATGTCAACCGTTGAGGATCTCCTAATGTCAGAAGAGGAGAGTAGTTCTTAACCCAGTGACCTCCTACTGGCCCAGATCAAGGCTGGGCAGTCACAGAGAATATGGCTGCAACTCTTATCTGCTTCCAAGCAGAGTCTACAATCTATCTCTTCGGACAGACCCATTTTGTTAAGGTGATAATGTAGTCCATTGTGACTTGTTAAATATCCCACCAGCAACCTCAACTCTGTTCTGCTAAAGAAGGATACCTTACAATAACTACAGGAATGAATCAGCTTTTTAGCCTGGCGGATATCTGGAATGTTGCGTCATTAGCGCCTTTTCTCGACTAAGAACCATTTATCAATCAGAGACCTAGTTGTAGACCAACTTAATTTACAATTTGGCTCCGGTCCACAAATTTCAATAGCAGATCCTGACCTCACCAGCTGCTGCAACATGTCATAACAGTCCAATAGAAGCTTTGAAGAAAACGTCCAGAATAATAATGCTTTCATTCGCCACTTATACGAATATAGAATTACGATGTATAAGTAATTATTCACACATACGTATGATTTTCTAGCATACGGTGTTAATAGAATACTAGAGTACTGTGTCAATTCAGTTAGTCATCGTACCCATCGTATCTGTAATATGAACACTTAAGTATTCCTTTTTTAAATTTTAACATTTTTCCAAACTCTGATGAAAAATCGCGCTTCATGACAATTTAATCAGGGCTCAAAATTATTTTCGTTTTAAAGTTATCATTTTCGTTTTATTTTTAAGGAATGCTTGTTGTTGATGGCTATGAGTGGCCTTCTAAGGGTGCAGAAAGATGTATAGTAAAGACTGGGAATTGCAGACTAAAGTATTTCTCTGCTATATACAGCCGTCATTCTAAAATGTGAAAACCTAGTTTTGTGGCCTTCGCTGCATAAACAATGCATTGTTCAAATGCTTAGTAGACTTCAAAGATCAGCATACGTGGGCGTTAACTACCTATAAATAGCTATGCTTATAAACAAGACCGGATTGGGAGACAGGGCTGAGTACAACGCAAGGAAAGATATCACTTTACAATAACAAATCGTAGATGCGTATAGGCATTGAAACCTAAATCTATTCAGTGGACCTAGAAATTTGTAAGTTGTACCACCTTTACGACTTTACTTCAATAATTTTGGCAGAAGTTTTCGTCTTTCTAAGAGCCTATTCTCTAACTATGTGCATGGACTTTAATGAAAATGAAGTCTATATTCTCACTGATAGTAGAGGCAGCAATTTAAGCTATATCAGTAATTTGCTTCTCGTCTTGAAAATAGTTCACGAATATACATGATCTATTAACGTAATAAGTAGTGCCTTCAAGTTAACTCTAAATTGGTTTCCTGAATACTTGAATAATAAAAGATACGAGAATGCAGATGAGTTGATCAGCCTTGCGCTTCTTCGATGGAACTTCTCCTTTTAATCTCTGCTCCTCCCAACCACAAATCATAATTGATTTACGACCATTTTTGCGACAGTGATAATATGACTGTCAGGACAGATCAAGAGCTAAATGACCTGTATACTTTAAACGTAGAAGTTCCGACTAGATACACAGATGTAGTTAGAAAGTGTTTACATTAATATCTGTTCTAACGGGGCATTAGACAATAGGATGGCATGGAGCCAGACTTGGTCTGCCCTGTCGAATCCGGATGGTTCTAATATACTTTTTTAGCATATCTGAACGGCTTTCTTAACTTATTGAAGGCAATTCGATCCTCCTTTCACTTCACCTACCCATTTTCCTGTTAAAGTTCGAATCGACAAAATAAATGAAAGAAAGATATTTACTTTAAACTACGAAGTTCATTATTTTTTAGTATAAAGTAAAAAATATGAACAATATAAAGAAATTAAATTGTATGTATTTTAAGATTCTAACTCTGTGTCAGTTATTCGAAATTTAAGGATGAGAATAAATAATTTTATTATTAATTGCGTTTAATTTCAAATTTATACATAACTACATTCCAATTAAGCAATAAGAAATACCTTCAATAAGAATAACTTCATTACCGTCTACGCTCGCAGTATAGTCTATGCACTTGCTTTGCCTTGAGTTCCTACAGCACCAAAAAGGATTCCCTGAACAGAAATAGAAAACACAACTGCATCACCGCTGTTTATATAACTGTAGATATAATCCTCAGCTTAATAAATAAATGAAAATGTAGACTTTTAAACTGGCGCTTCATGGTTTGTCTCTACTCGTTGCTGTAGTTTTGTGTGGCTCGGTGCTCTGCAGTATCGTTCGTTTTACTATTTTGTTGCATTATTGTTTTGCTCTACTGTTTTCTGTTCTGCATCTAACAAACCAGCCAGCGTTCGCTTAGTCAAGCTTCTGAGTTGGTTTTCCATTATCGTACTCGATTTCATGAAATTGCACAAAAACCATTTTCGCATTTCAACTCAACGCAGACACATTGCAATTTTCACATTTAATTTTCCCCTCACAATTGATTTGAAAGTGTACAAGCGTAGCAACTCATGCTCATACTCACGCACAAATACATACACATTCATAAGTGCTTAACGAGAAACACAAATATTCATAAACATAAACACATACTCCCTGCCTAGAAGAACATACACACACACACACTCACACACACACACACACACACTCACACACACACGATATTTGCAATGTATGCACGAACCGGAAGTCAGGTATGTGCATACACTTTTGCGTATGAAATGTTGGCAAAACCACAAACATTGGCAATAAATATGCGTATTATTTATTTAGGTTGTTTGTATGTATGTGAATGCAAATATTTTTGTGTACAGTGGTGTGCGATGTGTGGTGGTGATATGAGTTAGTTTGTGTAACTTTGAGTTTTATTTTCAGTTTCGGTGTGCATATGCGAGCAGTGTTTGTTTATGAAATGGATATTCCATACTTTTAGGATTTATAATTGTACATATATACATATGTATGTGTGTATTTATGTGTGTATTGCTTTAGATTTAAAAAACCGTAATAATATTTTTCTTTCCTGTTCCTATTTTTTCTAATATTTTTTCTATTTTAATTTCTTATTTAAATATTGAGCCTTTTAGGAGCAGTACTTTTGTTTATAGACTCTGTTTTATTCAGTTAGTTTACTGATAACTTTTATTCACGACTGCTTTATTATTTCTCAAAAAAACATGTCCCCTTTTCGCGTGTGCTTAAAGGCGACGACACAATACAAAAATGACAAATAAATTAAAGGCCATGATACAATAAATCTTAATTCTAAACATATCGCCGCCTTTGATGGCTCCAGCAGACATCAACATTCAGATGGAATAGGTGCCAATTTATGGATTGCTCGGCGAACCTCTCCATTCTTTGTTTTTACATCAGCAACTCGAACCCAACCTTTAGCATCTCTTGTCACTTTCAGCACTCTCCCAATAAGCCATTGCTTAGAAGGCAAATTTTCTTCTGCAACTAACACCATATCACCTTCATTAAGGTTCTTCTGCTTCTTAGTCCATTTGACTTTCTGTTGAAGTTCATGAAGATACTCCGCCGACCACCTTCTCCAAAAATGTTGTTGTATGGCCGAAATTCGTAGCCATCTATCTTTATGAGACCATTCTTCGCTATCCACAGAAGGTTCCACAGTTCCAACCAACGGACCACCTGTTAAGAAATGTGCCGGTG